CCCCCATCATTCCTTCTTTTCTTTTGCACAATTCTTGATGATCCGTTCGAAATGCAAATGCAAAAAGCACCCAACAATTCGCAGTGGACCCAATAAAAGGGCATGTATAATGTTTTGAAAGAAACCGCCCCAACGGAAGAGTCCACCTCCTAGTAGAGTAAGGAACCAGCTTTCAGCACCCAAAATCGATATAAAATTACCTCGCTGCAAAAAGGAGAAATTTATGGAATTGAAACTAAAAAATTATTTATTTATAATTTACCAAAGCATCGTGAAGAATACATTTTGCCACTTGCTGCGGTTCGGCCAAGCCTCCGCCACCGGATATAATTTGTGTTTCCTTTGGTTTGGTTTTCTGTTCGTTTTCAAAACCAGACGTTTTAGTGTCCGCTGGCAATGCTAGTGTGACTAATATACCCAGATGACGCGTTTCCATTGCGATCGTCTCGGCCATGCCACGCACAGCGTATTTTGAGGCGGTATACGGTCCATAGCCATAAATGCCAAACAGAGCTGCCAGCGATGAGGTGAACACAATGATACCTTCGCGCGCTTGCTTCATTTTTGGCAATACATAGCGTGTGCAATTGTAACTTCCCCAGTAATTTACATCCATTAGCTTGTGCGCATCCTCTACAGATACATCCTCGTATACGCCGCAAATCGCCATACCAGCGCAATTGACTAACATATAGATATCTCCAAACGCTTTTTCCATTTCAGCTAGAGCATTTGCGACATCGTCATAATTAGAGGCAATATCTAAGCAACGGTACTGAAATTTTTGTTCAGGAACTTGACGTATGACTTCCATTAACGCCACAGCACCACCTAAACAGAAAGATAAGATAAGAATTGTAAAACTATTTTTGAAACAGCCAATACGTTAAGATACCACTCACATGGTACCAATGAACGACGTTTTTTTAATTAGTTAGTTTAACTTTTAAACATAATAGTGATTAATTAACTTGCTTATTTTTTATAACATTGTACAAACATACATATATGGTGAATGCTATAGTTCGTACAAAAACTTACTCAGTAGTTTTTCATCGCGTGCAATCACGGTGACATTGGCTCCCTTCATTGCGCATTCCACAGCCAGGCAAAGTCCAATACCGCGTGAACCACCCGTAACAACCACATGACGACCAACCAGCATTTTTGGTCGCTTACGCATCACGAACACGTACACACCAACATGCGCCAAAACGGCAATCGTTATCCACAACCATATTTCCAATGTAAACTCCATAATAACTAGAATGTATATCAAACAATATTCTCCCATTGTTAATATAAACACAGTAGAAATAATTGCAATACTCTTACCCGTTTTAAACGCTTTGCGATTAGAGCAAAGGAAGTGAAATTGCTGTAAAACCACTCTCCTTTGAATTTAGAAAGTTGAGCTTTCCCTGTTATCAATTACTTCACTTCCGACTGTTGTAAATGAGTGCAGACAGAAGCGTCATTAATATTATAATATTTATGAAAAATTGTTGATTATTAAGACGTTTTTCCAAAATCTTTTCGAAGGAGAAATGTTAGAAAATAAAAATAAAGTGAATTTGATTTTGTTTTCACTAGAAATGGTCAGTGTTGCCACTGTTAAGTTCTCTGTTAAGCTACTTTATATTAAAAATGCCAAGTTTATGAAGAATTCAACCAAAGGATGGAATTTTATACTCTTTCGTTCCGTTGAAAGGGAATCGTCTTTTTAAGTTAAGTCATGGATTATTTTGTAGACAGCCATACTAAAATTGAATCAATAGTGCAAGACCTCGTTCGATTAATATTATTTTAATAAAATCCTTTAGTTTGAATTCACTTGCAAAGTGGCAACTTTGGAAATGACAGTAATGTAGTTGCTCCCGCATTCAAATTTCATGCAAACTTCAGGAACAGGTGATCCAAATGCTCAGTTTTCCTTCAAGGTGCAAAAAAACGTAAGTACATAGTACACTTGATACAAACATCGCGCTGCTGACAGCTGGGCAGCAATAAATTTTATCCTGTGGAGACGGCCAGTTAGGAACGTCTGTTTCATATGACTGCAATAAATTACAATTACAATTACAATTACTCTAAAGAGTTCTGCGAAATGAGAAAATACCTGTCGAGTAACAAAAATGATAGTTGAAAAGCCTTGGACGCTAGGCTCGTTACTATGATCGTCTCTTTGCTCGCCGCTCCACTAAGCGCTTAGCCTCATAAACAAAAAATGCTTTGCACAAGAGACACTCTGTGTTCCGCAAGAACAGCCAACTTCACCCGATTTTCGCTCTGTGTATTTAACCATAGGGAGCAAAACACAAAAATTAATAAAAAAAACTTTGACAACTTCAACGAATTTTTCGCAGACGCTTTCTTGAGTGGTTGACCAGCCTAGAGAAATATAGTTTCGCTCATTAAAAACGTTCGAATTGCAATGAATTCCAGCATAACAATTGAACGTAAGCGTGTTGATTGCAATTCGTTGCCGAAAGGATGGCAGCGGGAAGAAGTGCTCCGTAAGTCTGGTATATCGGCTGGTAAAGTTGATGTCTACTACTACAGGTAATGCTTAATAATTATATAGCATCAAATTAAGTAAAAAATAGTCTAAAATAATGTATTGTATCTAATTTGTCATGTACTTCCATCTCCCAACACCCTTACCTTACCGCTCATATTCACTTGTACAACGCACGCACTGTCCCTCTGCGCCCTCACACTAACACAAAAAATGCGTTCAACTGATACACTAAAAATTTAAATGAACACAAATCCTGCACGTATTTCGCATATTCCCACAAATTACCACTATGACCCTGCTTAAACTATCTAAATATTTCGCTGGCGTCCAGCCCAACCGGAAAGAAAATCGAAAGTAAGCCACAGTTGGCGCGTTACCTTGGTGATGCGATCGACATTGGTGCTTTCGATTTTCAGAGCGGCAAATTCGTGCGCCACTTGCCACCGCCATCGATTTCGTTATTCCGTTGCTCGAGTGTAACAAATAGCAGCAGTAGTGGTAGTGGAAGTGGCAGTACATCAATGCCACCACCACCCCCCACACTGCAGTGCTAGTAGCACTACATCCCTATACGTGTGTTCCTCCTCATCTTCTTCACAATTACCAAGTACTACAAATGCCAACATACTACAACCACCAACTTCAACAACCACATCAAATACGCTAAATGCATTAAAGCGCAGATACAAGGCGCAATCCCAATCCCAATCACAAACTCAGAATCAATCACAGACCCATGGTATACAAGGCATACATACGACTGCCATTAGTAGCAGCTGTGCCCCGTCAAGCGCATCTGGCGTTGCAACTACATCGGCTGCGAGTTCTCGTCAGCAATTAGAATTCAGGTAGAATGGCAAAATTAATCTTTTGTTTTTATTTGATTTGATGACGAATATACATAAATATTAACGTGTTCAAGTTATTGTTAAAAAAAATAGAGGAAAAATCGACATATGTACATATGTAATTACGGTAATCATAATGCTGTTGCATGCTCTTGATTTGCTTTTGTTCTGGTAAATATGACATCTTCAATTGAAACAACTGCAGCATAAGATGACAGATTATGGCTAGATAAAAAAAGAAACGAAAACTAAATTGGAAAATGGCGAAAAATTATGATAAATTGGCATTTATTGGCTATCAATGTTACACCAAAATACGTCTGTCCAGCAAAGTGCTAAATTACCACATCTGTCTGTGTTGTATATTATGTTTTCCAGACTTTTGGTGCTTTTCTCACTTGCATGCACATAGTTTTGTCTCATCGATGAGCGATTATTGGCCATTTATGTGTTAAGATGTTTCCGAATCCTAAAATCGTACCACCTTAATAATTAACCATATACTTTTACATATTTCTGTCATAGTCGCGCCCCACGCACAGACGCTTCACTGGTGCCGCCTATACGTCAGACCGCGTCAATTTTTAAACAACCAGTAACTGTAGTACGTAATCATGAGCATACAAAGGTTCGAAATGATAACACCAAACAGACAAGTGGCCAGGAGAAACCAAAGCAAATGTTCTGGGAGAAACGATTAGAGGGTTTGCGCGCATGTCATCCTACCGGCGAAGAATTTGAAGATATCGTTTTGCCAAAAAGTATACGCACCATTGGTCCAAATGTTAGTGAGCAGACCGTACTGCAATCGTTGGCTACCGCATTGCATGTGCTCAACGTGCCTGTTATGGGACAAGCCTCCACAAAGACTGAGATGAATAAAAATGCTCCGGCATTTTTGAATCCAGAACAACCACTAATGCAAGCTGTTCTAGTGTCAGAAGACGATATACGACGCCAAGAGGATCGGGTTAATGCGGCTAGAAGAAAGCTCCAAGATGCTCTTAAAACTTAAACTATAATTATATTAAGTTCATCTTTTGTTAGCATATTTACATAACTGAAATCTAACCTTTTGCTACTAAGAAATTTAGTTAATTTTAAGGTATGCGTTTATGTACATATATCGTCGTTTAAAGTACAAAACCGCGTATTTATTTTCTAGAGAGTAAAAATACTCATATTTCAAAATGGTTCTCTTTGTTATAAAGTAATCGAATTTCTGGCTAGTATATTTCAGGACGAATGGATAAGGATTGAAGCCAGGAGCTTGTGTGAGCATATCCAATTTTTGGCAGCAAATTTCAGTTACGCGGTTTTGCGGAATGACGATACGCGGTTTTGTACTTTAAACGACGGTATGCATAAATGCTTGAATCATGTCTTCAAATAACTGTAGCGTCTTAATACATTTTTTTTTTTGATACAAATTAACTTGTGTTTTTTATTTTGCGTAAAATCGGTTTGAAACACCGTGAAACATCCTTGTAATTAATTTTTCAAATTCTTACATCCACAGTTTTTTCAAAGCTTTTCTTAATTTCCAAATTTTTTATTTATGCTTTTATGATTTTTTTTCCTTTGGATAAACTAAATCCTAATGATGCTTAAACTAACTTCTAGCTGTAGACTGGAACCTTTATCTTGGATTTTCGGCATAATGAGCTCCTTGTATACTTCTAACTAAGAATATTATTTTCAAAGCATCCGAACGTTCCACGCTTTGTTCTTTTACGAAAGATGGACGTCCTTTTTCTTTTTTGGTAGTTAATCCATTTCATCGTCTTCTAACGCTTCATCATCTTCATACACCAAATCATTGTAATAACGTCTCGAACTGGAGAACTAAAAATAAATAAAATGTCGAAAAACACACAATAGGCATTTGAAAAGAGGATTTGGTGGTTGTGAGGTGTAAACGTAGAAATATTCTCTGAAGAGGTAACTTTCATGTTATTTGCTTTTCAATAAGCAAAAACATATTAGCACTTCTACATATGTATGTACACTCCCAGTCATTTGAATAGCACGCCCGTTTGATCCTCAGCATGTACAGTCTCCTTTTGTTTGTTTAATATTCATTAATTTTTTATAAAAATGTAGCACGTAGTACGTGTGAATCCGATTTTAAAATTTTATACAAATTTAAAAAACATCAACAAGGGGGAGTGTTAGGCTAGTGACCTGCAGTGCATAAGTTAATAATATTTAAAAAAAATTTCGGGTACGTAGGTTTGTTGACATGTTTTTTAAATTTCTATAAAATTTTTAAACCGAATTTACACGTAGATTGAATCTCATAAAAAATTAATGAGTCGCGTTAATTTCTTCATGATCCAATGAACGGATCTAAACCAAATTAGTATGGGACCACCTCTGAGGTACCGCCTTTTCTTTACAAAAAAAAAAGAATTATATATGTCGGTTAACGTAGTCCAAAGTTATGCCGTAACATACATACATGCAAAAGTATTCCGACGAATTGATAATCTGCTCCTTTTTTTAAGTTTGTTAAAAATTAGTGAATATTAAACAAACAAAATGAAAAATGTAAACTGTACATATGTACATACTGAGGATCAAAAGGGTGTGCTATTCAAATAATTGGGAGTGTAAATATATGCATATTTTGATGTTTATAATTGTATAGTTAACTTTATAATTACTATTCATTACCTTCCAATTGTATAACTATTGCCAAACTTAACGAATAGCTAAAAAAAATATTGATTGATGAAGTGAAAATTCTTACTTTATTACATGCAAGGCATTTTAAATTATATCTTCTTTTAAAATGGATCCAAATCGGTCGATGGGCTATATGATTGCGATGACTATACATTGCAATATTAGTTAAAAATGCATTTGATTAAATATGCATGCATGTTTTATAATTATCAACAACAAACCTGTTTGTAGACACCACGCCAAGCAGCAAAAGTACCCATTGCAACGACGGCGCCAATTGCAGCCAAGATTTTTGTCTTCTTCTCAGACTCCAAGAAATGTCGCTCAGTAGCTGTTAGTAATGGGTCATTGGATGACTGACTTCTTAAGGTTTTGAGTGAATTGAAACCCTCATTTCTGAAGATGTCTTTTGTTATACGATTGATGAAATTCACTAAGTTCTGACAGCCTTTTATGTGATTTTGTAGTGGATTATTGGGCAGTGTTACTTTAAAAAGAATAGCTAAGTACGAATAAACAATAGCATCGAATTCACTGAAGAAATCGCCAAAGAACCATACTTTTCTCCCCAACTTTTTTGATAAGAGATTGACACATTTTTTGGCATTCGTGGTGAGCTTTGAAAATATAGATTTAAAAAAAGAAAGTTTTATCTTTTATCTAACGAAAAGAAAAAACGATATATGTATGTAACACTTACATAGTCACGGTCATGATTTTCGAGCTTATCACGCGGATCAAAACCGCCCATTACCATGACAATGTCACACGCCTCCCGCTGATAACTGCTTGGGTAGAAGAAATTAAACGGGAACGTTGTACGTTTTGCATATAGACTGCGTGTGGTATCGAAGTTGTTTGGTTCGCCATACATAAAATAATGATAGTATGAATGAAGATTAGTGAATACCCAATTGGCATATGCGGGTGAAAGTAGTTTCTGTTCTTCTTGTAGATGAGCATCGACTGGATAACCCTGTAATTAAATAATAAATATGTATATAATACGCAATTTAGTAACATTTCAACTTAATGTCGATTTATATTTTTGATTGGTGCGACTTAACAGGATTTTACTGTAAACAGTGCAACTTATTTTAAACGGAATGTGTGTACTTCTATTATTAGCAATCCAACAAGAGTAAAAAAGTCAGCAGCTTTTAGGGATCATTGAACGTGCGTACTTAAAATGAAATCGCGATACAGAGGTTGCCTTGTTAAAAGTTAAGAACGCTCATGCACATATCTTGGTATACATATTCATATATGTACATACATAAGTATGTACAGTATATTGGCAAGGTAAACTTATTTATAATAAATTGCTTCTGTTATAACTTTGTGAATTGTAATAAAATATGCAGGAAAACATTCAAGTGTTATTGGCACACAACTTTGTTTCGGAATTGTTTTGGCGCCAGGCAGTCTATCCTGCCACTAAATGTTCATGCACACAGCTACTTATCAGTCTTATGAACTGTCTACTCACCTCTTTGTCTAGCACTTTCTTGATTTGTCTGTATCCACAGAATCTTTTATTGCCAATTTGGAGGTAAGGTAGTTTCCCCGTGCTAGAGCGCATGGGATTGGCATTCGTGTCGATTTGTAGAGGGCAGCGCGTAAATTTAACCAGACACTGAATAAAAAAATAAAAACCGTTTATTAATAAATGTAAATATGCATGTATATAGATCATAGTTTGGTAATATGCAACACAATTTTTACTCATACCAAAAATCAATTTGATAAAAGAGATACATATGCTTTAAAATTTAGCGCAATGTCACTAATAAACATTCAGTATGATGCAACTTTTTCTTCTTTGAAAGATATGTCTGATCGCTCCGCTGTAATTTTTCTTACCAACGCTCGTAGGCAATCGAAGTCGATGGACGGCAGACCCCATTCTCCTTTATAGACATATAAAACACCACCTAAATGCATATTTCAATTTGATTTATACACGCCACTTTGCCGGAAATGTATTTACAATTGGAAGGTATATATATAACAATTTGATAATTATTAACTTCGAAATTAACAAATTAAAACACGAATTGCAATTGCATGTGAATGAACGAATGAATGAGCACTGCAAATTTTACTAGGTTATGAACGGACCGCAATCAGCTGATTTTGATCAACATTTAGAGAGAAACTAGTGAAAGTGAGCGTATTTTGTAAAATCAGTGCTGGAAAACAGTTGGGGAAAAACATATTCTTGTTTCCCCTTTGCGCTACTATTTCGTAAACAAAACAAATCGGCATGCAGTTCAATTATTCAAGAAATAATTAATTATTTGTAAAAGGTACGTTCGTTTAAAATTTTCAAGTAAAAATATCCAACAGCAAAATTCCAGCGGAACGTATGTATTCAACATGCTAAATTGAAATCCAAAGTAAGTATACATCCGCGCTCTAAAGGCGATAACGCTAGATAAAAGAAGCTTTAACGATTTGTTTCCGGATTCGCTCAGTAGTATGGCTTTAGTGAATTATGGTAGTAGTTGTTCCTCTGATGATAGCAATGATGAATCGGACAAATGCGACACCAATCCAGCGTTATTGCCAGGCAAAATAGCAGAGCCACCGCCAATAGTTACGAGAATTCGTGAACGCCCAGCGCTGAAGAGGTATGTTTACAGTGAAATTGGTTTTATTTTGTTTATATGTTTATTTTGTTTATATGTCTTGCTCTCCACAGAACTTTGCCAGATGCGCTTTCATTATTGGGCGCAAAACGGGCGGCATTAACAACAAGTGACGACCACTTAGATGATCCAGCAGAGCACGATGGACGAGTGCGAAGTTTCAAACACGAACGTGGCAATTGGGCGACGTATGTGTACATAGCAGGTATTCAGGAATGTACAGTACCATAGAATTTAATTACCTTGTAATTTGACTAGCACATTCAGAGCAGTTGGAAGATGTACAGGAAGTAAGCAAAGAAGCATTGGCCGATGTGCTGCACGATTTACACACAATAGAAGATTTGCACATAAGTTTGAGTCGAACTGTTGTGTTGCAATATCATCACATTGATTCATTTGTTGAGTCCTTGCGGAATAAGCTGGAAGTCACTGCAAGGTAACTAATAGGCATTCTATATGAAAAATTGGAAATAACACATTCTAATGCAATTTAATTCCCAAAAAGCTTTTCCATTAGCTTGAGACGCTTACACATCTACACGAATGAAGAGCGAACCCGCACTTTTATAGCATTTAAAGTGGATGAGATGCACTTTGATAAAATGCATCAGCTCATGACGAAAGTGGACGGTGTAATGACAGAATACAGGTTACAACGCTTCTATGAAGTAAGTCATTGTTCAAATGCGCCGATAATTAGTAATAGCATTTTCTTTTCGTAGGACCCATCGTTCCACATCAGTTTTCTGTGGTGTCTAGGCGATAAGGTCTCAGTTTTGAATGAAAATCTGGACACATTGAAATCAGCAATCAATGTGTCATTGGGTGAAAGCAAAGCGTTTAGTTTATTTATTCAAGAAATTATTTGCAAGAGCGGTAATAAGGAATTCGTGTTTAAGCTTAAGTGAAGGTAGACAAAAATTTTTCAATGTATTTATTCGTAAAAATTTGCAGCGTTACAAGTCAATACATCTCTGTATAAATATGATGCCTTATTAGTGTGTTTGGAGTTTCTCAAATTCTCCTTTACTTTTTCTTGCCGTTACTGCTTTGCTTAGCATTTTTCTCCTCTTCTTCCAAACGCGCTTCCTCCTCCATTTCTAGTGCACGTTCATACCTTCGACCGAGTGGCGTTTTAGACCACCAGGAATCAAATGCTTCTTCCTCCTCGCGATAAACCGGATCTCGAGTGCTGAAATAAAGTAGGTAGCACAAATTTGGAATAAGTTAACAAGTCAAGGAATAAAATATGCGTAGGCATCGCGGAACAAATGGTTCAGAGTTTCATAAGTGTTTGATTATGTACCTTAATGCGTTTATAAGCTCTGCATGAGTCAATGGCTGTGTCCGCAGCTGTAGCTTACGCTTACATGTCAATACTTCTTTCAAACACGAATCAATAGAGCCAATAGTGTAGCCATCAGAAATTTTCGCCATTACACTGTAGTCCAAATTGGACAAGCCACCAGTATATTCACTGAAATTCATAAAAAAACAAGTAATACCTACATATATACATACATATCCTTATTAAAAGGTCAAATACGCGCTTATACATACTTAGCCAATGCTTTCCATGCGCTCGATCGTACGCCATAATCCGGTCTGGGTATATAAATGAAGCGATTATAAGTTTGCTGAAAAAGTTTTTGATCCGCTTCCCAGGGTAAGTTGGAAGTTCCTATGAAGAGGACACGGTCCTCCGGCGCTATATTCTTAATCAGTCGTGGTAAATCTTTCTTCAAGCGTTTCGGATCAGTGCGATCTGTCTTCGGCACCTTCTTCATAAATGGTCGCTCTGCATCGCCCATATATATGACTGCAGGCTGCAGAAGACGCGATACTTTAGAAACCAAATGTATAAGCATTATGAGACCAGATTTCCCCGGATATTTTCCAACAATATTAGCAGGTGTTAGGTCAAATAGTACAGCGCCCACTTCAGTGCAAATAGCGTGCAGCAAGGCCTTTTTGCCCGAACCACGCGGACCGGCGAGCAGTATTGAGCGTATAAGTGGGCATGAATTACGTATGGCTTCAGAGCCGAGTGGTAAAATGCAGTACTCGATGAGAAGCTGACGGATGTCACCAGCCGATGGATTAGTGCCAGAACGTTCGCTCAACGCCTTGTCGCCAATATATTGACTTAGACGCACTTCTGGATACTTGCGTATAATGCCATTGGTGACAAGCTCCTCGTAGAGTGATTCAGTTGTACGATCGGGTGTAAGATCTTTTTCTTTCTTCTTCTTGCTTTTCTTACCGGATCGGCGTGTTTTCTTGCTACTCTTCTTGATCTTTTTGCCGATGGCGGACTAAAGGATAAGCATGAAGTAAAAAGCTGCTGAAAAAGCTAATTTTATGGCTTTTTTACCTGCAACAATTCCAGCTCTTGACGCATTAATTCGTCCACGGCGCGTCGACACTCGTGCTCTACCTCCAGATATTTTTCATTGTATATCATGTCATCGTACTGCGCTTGAGCCAGGTTGCCGGCTTCGTCTTTGTTACGCCAGACTTCATTGAATCTAGATATAGGTAGATATGCAGATGTCTGTGTTTGTATGCAAAAGTAGCTTATGTCGAAAGGCTTAGTATATTGCGGCATTCCCTTTATTCTTTAAACGACAAGGATTTTTTTGATGGAACTTAATAAGAATATTGACTATCGGAACTATTTCTTGCACGTTTATTTGCCAAAAGTTGTTCAATGGCTCAGCGCCAGTAAGTTATTCGCAATCGTATGCTGCGAATGCCGATTTATACTAAAGCCAGCATTTCGACATAAGCTACTTTTCCATACGACCGACAATATCTGTCTACGTCTAATACGTCTAATAAAAAATCTAGATAATTAATTAATTAAGACTAAAAAAGTAAGCATTTCTTTTTTCCTTAGACAAACTCAGTCTGTTTAGGATCTCGTTTGTGATAACCGTGTTTTTTTCCATGCGCGACTTACTCTTCAATTGCCGTTTTGATATCAGCGAGAAGCACAGTTTGGCCAGGTTGAAAATTTTCCCCTTCCGCCTGGTTATCCAAAACGTTCAAGTCCCCGCTACGCGCTGGCGATTTTGATTTGTCCTTGGTCTTGCGCGACTCCTTTGAGGAGCGCGCTGAAGAGCGGCTGAGCTCGCTTTCAGTGCCTAAAAATTAATAAAATGAAAATTAGAAATTGGATCTCCACTAAACGCCTGTTGTTGGAGAAAAATAAATATATATTATACCTGGCCGACTGAAGATATGCAGCGAACCGCCTTGGTCCTCGCTCGGAAATTCTGGCAATTTGCCCGTTTTCTCGTAACAATCCTTGATCCAGGCGCGTAACTCATCGGTTATGTCCTCGGTTATTGTAGAACCCTGCTTGGACTTTATGTCCGCGCGCACAGCTACTACGGATGATTCCAGTTTCTGTTTGTAGGCCGCTTGTGTTGCATAGCGACGCTCGTAAATCTACGTGAAAGCAAATAAACAAATATAGGGTAACTTGAGCTTTGATAAGTTCACTACCGCTAACAACTACCTTATTTAGCTTGTCCTCCTTTTCGGCACGTCTCTTTAGCATCGCCGCGGTGGGCGGCACCATGCCGATCAAAATCATTTCTTCTTGCTTTCGTCTTCGCGTGATGCGGCGCGCGGTATGGCCGCGCCACACCTTCTGTATCTTCATGGCGGCCAAGAGACCCATATCGCTGCGCTCCTTGCCTTTCTCCTCTGCCTTGCCCTTATCCTTCAGCATGCGTATCTCTTTCATGAAATGCGCTCGTAACCTTCCCTGGCGCGCGCGCTCATGCATCTGCAAGAGACGTATAGCCTCGATTTCGCTTAGCTTCTCTTCACTCGGATGCTCTTCTAACCAACCCAGCTTGATGAGTATTTCGTGCATGGTACGATTGCGTTGCTCGATTTGTTGTTGTCGTTCGCGTAGAAAGTAGCGCGGTATATGCAGCTCAGTATCCATGGGCGTTAGTTGCAGCCGTATAACAACCGCGTCGTTGTAATTGAACTCCATTAAATCGATATTGACCAGATCATGTTTAAGCTCAATAACGCGCCCCAGGCACGCGTCGAGTAGCTTGCGCACCAAGAGTCGCTTCTGTGGCTGTATCATTTTGTCGTAAACTTCCTCCAGACGATTGGCGATGCCGATATAGCGTAAATAGAACTCATAGACAGTAGACTGAATAAGCTTTTTTGGGTCGGTCACTGCTTCTATATCCGGCAGGGCCGAAGCCAGAGCGGCGAGCGCAGTCTCGAAATTCTGTCCCTGCTGTTCATCGGCGACTGCTAAAAGATCAACTTCGTGCTGCGCCTGGTGCCAAAGCTCATTGTAGTAGTGATTGGACATTATTTATTAGCGGCAAGGATAAGCGAGAGCAAAGTGATACAACCGTCGAACACGACTAAATGGTAACTGCAGTTTTGTGGAAATAGTTGCAGCGTTTG